ACCAAAGGGCTCGCACCTGGGGTTTCATACCTTGCCTTCTTGCCTTCGCATCTACAACCTCCGCCGCCAATCTCCTAGGCTTCCTTCATCTACGTCCCAACCCCCGTCGAGCTCGCATCCACCCGCCCCCATCTTCCAATGGATCCATGGTGTCGCTCTGACATCACCTTTCAGTGCATGGAGGGCCTCGTCCATTGTGGTTTTCTCTACGCGTGGACCGTGGCCGAGGAGTGGCTGCTACACGGTGAGGAGGACGTGCCGTCGCCGCCTGACGGCTACGTGGTGTCGTTCGTGCACTTCCATGAGCGCGGGTTCGCTACCCCTGCTCAAGGATTTCTCCGGGGCTGCTGCACTACTACAAGATTGAGCTGCAGCACCTCAATCCCAATGGAATCTAGCACATGGCGGTGTTCGTCGTCTTATGTGAGGGATTCCTAGGGATTAGTCTCCACTTTGATCTGTGGTGGTACTTCTTTGCCGTCGCCCTCCAGAAGAAGAGGGAGAAGAGCAACAAGCAGGAGCTACATATGCCGATGGGATGCGTTGGCATCCACCTCCGGAACAACCGAGTTGGCGAGTACTCGGTGATGCGGCTATCGACCTCCAAGAAGGGGTGACATTTGTAGTGGTTTTATCTCAAGAATTATGCTACCGCCCCCCTACCAGAGTTCACCGGGCGCCTAATCGAAGAGGCCCTGGATTTGTGGAGGAAGTGGGGTGTCCCGGAGAAGGACAAGAAGAAGATCTGGGACCACCTCATCGCCATTGGCATCCTGAAGGAGAGGGGCCTGAAGGGGTCAGGCATCATCGGGGCCTACCACGTGAGGAGGGTGGCGGCGCTAATGAGGCGTGCGCTTCGCCTTATGCGATGGTGCCCGAGGCATCATTCATCGGGATGGTGCTGGCCGAGGGAGCGCTCTCCCCCTCCGAAGTCGCGCAGCGCATCAAGGAGGCGATGGAGCCTTCGTGGGACAACGCATTGTCCCTCTTGACTTCATGTACCCGGTGCGGGGCGATTCTCCGATGCGACCAGAACCGGGCTACACCATCTTCATAAGTTTCCTCTCCTCATGCCACCTCTTCAATTGATCTCCTGACCCCTTGACACTAACATTGAGATGGGGGACCAGCCGAGGGACCTCGTCCTCACGGATCACCCGGCTCTGCAGCCGAGGGATTTGTCCGTGAGGGCAGCAAATCGCACCGAGGGCGAGCGGCTTAGGAAGGCGAAGGAGGACAAGAGGAAGAAGAGGCAGCAAAAGCTACTTGCACGGGAGCGAGGGGAGGACACCGACAGCGATGACGATGGTGATGAGGAAGACGACGAGGAGGTAGTTGATGACATCGAGTGAGATAACCTAGAGAGCAAGGATGTGCTGACGGGTATCCGCTTGTCTTTGCAGGAGTCAGGGCCCTTCCAGTTCCATGGAGGGGAGGGCACGTCCATGGGGCCAGCAGAGACGGGTCGGACCATTGGCCTGCCTCAGGAGCCAATAGGGGCGGGTGGATCTATCGCGCGTGCTCGAGGTGCCAGCGGAGGCGGGTGGCTCCGCCGTCGCGCCCCAAGATGCAAGGGGAGCGAGCCCCTCTACCCGGGAGCAGAGGGCAGGCTCAAAACGGCCCCGCCCCGATGAGGTGGAGCAGGGGTCTAGGGGTTCGCCCCCCAAACGTATCCGCCACCCAACAGCACCAATGTAAGTCACTAGCTCCTCTATTTTTCTCTGTTTTCATCATGACTTATGCTTTTCTTTCTTCGCAGCGTCGTGAAGCGGCATAATCCTTTGGCGCTGGCGCCAAAGAAGAGCGTTGCCCTTCAAGCGAGGCAGCAGTCGTCGGTTGGCATCATGCCTGTTTCAAGCGGGAGCGGCACTGGTGTGACCGCATTGCCGGCCGGTCAGGCGCCGCCCACGGTGACGCATTGCCGACCAGTCCAAAATGCATCTAAATCGCTGAAAGAAATTTGGCAGTTGCATCATCGGGTATGACATAGGCTACAGAATCATCACTTGGAGACCTTGAATTCCTCTCAGTGACCATCGACGATGAGATCAATGACCTGGAGTCGCTGTCCTCGTAGGGGCTCCCAGAAGCACCCCTCCCCTTGTAGATAAAGGCCACAAATTGGCCGCCTACCGATGAAATCGATGTCTGCAATGGCGATTTTGTCGTGGCAGTCACCGAAGTCATCGCAGGAAACACGATGCCGACCGAAAATTATCTGATTTCGCAAGAAGATTTATTGGACCAAACCCTAATTAATTAGTAGATAGAAAAACCACGGGAAAAAAAGGATGGGTCCCCTCCCCTTCTTGTCTAAGGCAAATACAATGGAGAGGAAGAACGAGAGGGGGCCTAGATGTGGCGGCGGAGTAGTGGGGAGCGGTGGCGGTGGCAGCGGTGGCTGTGTACGAGGCGTACGAGACATGCCTTTCTTTCTTTCTTGGGGGGCCGGGGTTGACTCTTTCGAGAAATAATTTTGATTTAATATATATATATATATTAATATTTATAGTATAAAATTAGTATTATTAGATCGTTGAATCTATTTTTATAATAAATTTATTTAGAGATACAAAAACCATACGTATTTTCTACAAATTTAGTCAAACTTATGGCACGGATAAAAAACAACATTTATTTAGGGAAGAAGTCCAGGGACAGCAGATCGAACATGTTGTTGCTTTCATTTTATTTTGGTTTGGTTCCGTACTAGTGGCACAAAGTTCCCGATACGAAGGGTACGACGAACGGGTACGTGGATCGAAAATTTTAAGTTCCCGACTCGTGAGGGTATATCTCTTCGGGACAATTGATTCGAAGAGTGGAACATGGTCCCTAGATAATTTGGACAATATACCTGTTACGTAGCTATGAAATGAGAACATGATTCCGATATATCTATTTACATAAATATTTATTAGTACTATAATTTTAGATTGCACGGATTCCCTTAAAAAATAGATTGCACGGAGAATAGTAATGCTAATCTTTTATAGATTTGATAAGAAAATACGACATTCTAGCGTTTGGGTTGCAGGTACATTTGCATTGACTGTCTCATTATTAGGACATGGCTCATCGGACTCCAGGCCCATTTGATTGTCGACTACAGGCCTATTTCTCTCCTCTCCCATCGACTCTACTCATTCATCTGACGCATAGAGCATAGAGCTGTCGTACAGGAGAAACCATAGCGCCGTCGCCCGCTGCCAGCACCTGGCCCCAGCACCGCACCGCTCCACCGCCAACGTCCGGCTCTAGTGTCGCCCGCCGCCGCCCCCGGCCCCAGCGCCGCGCCGCGCAACCACCTAGCACCACGCGCGTGTAGCAGAACCAGTGCCACGTAGTTCTGCCAAGCTTTCAGAGGAACCTGCGTCCAATGCTGCGCTACAAATCTCTGCATCTCCACTGTGTCGCGATTGCTGTCTGCATCCTCTCGATGATGCAGTGTGCTTTGGAACGGCATCCCAACTCACGTCGCCATCATCAATCTGTCGATGTGCCTCATCGGGAGACTTGTCCGTGGTGGATTCGATTTGGAAAAATCTTTGGCGGTTGAACTAACTCATTGTCAAACCACTGTCCGCATAGCTAGTCAGGGGAGGTCCAGGAAAAAAATCCATAAAAAAAGGACTCGAACATGAAAACGGGAAAACGTAAATGGTAACCGAGTCGATGTCTTAGTGGGACGATTGCGCAAGAAATTTTGCCTCTTTATTATTAGGTATAGATATAGATTTGGATCCATACCATTACAATTTTCAAAGTTAGATCTGCTATTACAATTCACCTATTATAAAACTTGCCATAATTCTTGGTCTACCTAATTCTTGCCATTTTCTAAGTCTCCTAGGTGCCTAGGCCCACATCAGACTACCGTACATATATGCATCTTTCGTATGGACCAAAACACCATTCTGCTTCTCGCTCCCTCCACTCGCTAACATGTGGGCCCTATGAGTCAGCTTCTTCAACCTCTAGCCATCCTCCACCAGGCAGCGGGCGCAGTACGGGGCGGCGGCCCGCCCACTGCGTGGTGGAGGATGGCCGGAGGTTGAACGAGAAGCTGACTCGTCAGACCCACACATCAGTGAGTGGAGGGAGAGAAGCATCAATGGTGTTTTGGTCCATACGAAAAATGCTACGCGTACAATGGTCTAACAGTGGGCCCGGGCACCCAAAGACGTAGAAAATGGTAAGGATCACGTACACGAAGAATTATAATGACAAGTTTCAGAATATGTGAATTGTAATGGCAGATCTCAGAACTTTAAAAATTATAATGGCATGGATTCAAATAAACCTATGTTTTAAGGCATTCTGACACCACTTTAACCCAAGTAGCCTTTATAATTATAATTGGATTCAAATGGTTAAAAAGTCCCATATTAATCGGTGTAACAAAATGCTAGACCATTTTTTTAAAAAAAAGATACAATACGATACAAGATTGCGCGGCCACCGTTCCGTCATTGTACTTCTGTTTTAAAAATATATCAATATATTTTTCTTATTTTGCGAACAATATAGTTTTCTGCTACCTTCGTTTTAATCTATAGGTTATTTTAGTTTTTCTAAATTTTTATTAATTATTTAGACACATCATATATATATATATATATAGATACACAACAAAAATTATATTATATATTTAGAAAAGTTAAAAAGATCTATAATTTAGAGCCGAGGACGTACATAGTAAACTGAAAAACTACTTTTGTTATTGCTCTTAGAAAATAAACTACGCATCACAGCAGAGCAGAGTGCAGCGCAACACGCCGACACCCCGAATGGCACTAACCAATATAGGGCCATAGCGCAAACCACCGTCGGCCCATGGAAGGCGTTGTCACTTGGGCCGGTCCCGATGACTTGGCTGGCTTCTTCTATAAGGAACCACCGCGTGCCTGACTCGCGCTTCCCGCTCTTTTCCATTCCACCCCGTCCATCATCTCTCTCTCTCTCTCTCTGCGCAGCGAAGCTTCCAGAACCCTCTTTCCATGGCCTCCTCCTCTTCCTCCGGGCGGCCTTCACCGGTGCAACCGAGAGTCCGGCCGTCCCCGCTCGAGCTCGGATTCGGAAACCCTAGTGCCAGCCACAACCCCTCCGTCGAAGACAGGGTGGCCCTGCTCCTCCGCGCCGCGCACGACGGTTACGTCCCCAAAATCAAGAGTGAGCTCTCGAGATGGACACGGCGATTACGGTTTCTATGTGCTCTGGATGATCTGTTGACTCTAGTTTTCTGCTTTTGCTTTTGGTACGGTTCGCGTTTCGGGGTCTGATCGAATTGTTGTGGGTTGCTGTTGTTGCGCAGCGCTGGCGAAGCGGCTGGAGGAGCATGCTGGGATGAGCGTGGACGAGGCGGTGAGATGGGTCCAGGCCCCGTGGAGTAAGGGTCACGGGCCGCTGCACATGGCGGCGTCGGCCGGGAAGTTTAAGGCGTGCAAGTACCTGATCAACGATCTCGGGCTCGATGTCAACGCGACTGGCACCGATGGTTCGTATCTTCTTTCTATTTTTGCTTTTGCATGACGTTCGCTGGGTCAGCACTAGGAGGGACGGGATGGTTGGACCGTTGGATCATGTTTCTGAGCACGGGAAGGGAGACTTTGATCTGATTTATGGGATAGGTCGAGGGTTAAGTTTATTTGCTCGCTTATTTGTTTTGGAGAAAATTACTGGAAACTGGCTATGGTGGCCGATGTGAGTTCTGTCACAACATAGGTAATTAGGTATGCATGCATGATAGTATATGAAATGTGGTCATATGTATCCATGTAACCAGTAATCATGTCTTATTTCTTCCCAGTTTCTCGGAGTGCAATTTGTATTTTATTCAGTCTGCCTAGATTGTAGTTCAGCAATCCCTCCCAATTTCCATTGACAAATACAAACCTCTGCGGCTGATGGATGGTTTATGTGAAGATCTTATGCGATTTCAAGTTTCTTTTGCATTAACGCAAATGGGTTTCCACTCTTAATTGTTATTTTTTGTTTCCAGAATAGGGGACCTTTATCTGTTTGACGAAAACTTTTGCAAATAGTAGTGTTTGTGAAATAAAATGCACGTTGACTCATGGATTTTGGAGAAAATAGCTGGAAACTGACTATGGTGACTGATGTGACTTCTAAGTTCTGACACAAGCTAGGTGTGCATGATAGCAGATGAAATCTTGTAATATGCACGTCACCAGTAATCCTGTCTTTCCCAAGTATTTTGGAGTGCAATTGGTATTTTATCCAGAGTCTGCCCAAGCCTTAGTTCACCAATCTCTCCCAATTTCCATTGAGAAATATACAAACATGTGAGGTTGGAGGATCATATTTACATGGAGATGGTATGCGATTATTGGCAGTTCCTTTTGCATTTGATGTGAACCGGATTCCCAGTCTTATATTTTGTTTCTATAGTATTAATAAAGAGGTAAACCTTTGTCTGCTTGGCAAAATTTCAGCAAAGGGTTGATTTGTGGGAAATGCATGGGGTTTTTAATAAAGTCTACCATTATAAAAAAATGATATATATAAGGTAACATTAACTGTGATGGCAGTGTGAGTCATGGATCTCGTTGTTTAGTTTAATTTAATCCAGTGGCGGACCTTGCCTCAGATTATTAGGGGGGAGCAATGCCATAAACAAGTTACTAATGAACTAATGATTCAAACACTACTGTCTATACTAAACAAGTACACAAACTAGGGGTGGCCATGGCCCTTTCTAGCCCTAAGAAAGCTCCGCCCCTGGTTTGATCCTTATGCCATGATACAGGAATACAGGATACACCTCTGTAATACTACTATATGTTTCTATTACATATGACTTGATTTGGTTATAAGCAATAAGTGTTGATCATTCTGATTGCCACTTGCCAGGTGCGACACCACTAGTTTTTGCAATACATGGTAGTGGATCTTTAGCTGTTGTGAGGCTTCTTCTCGATCATGATGCTAATCCTAACAGAGCAGACATCTATGGGAGTTATCCTCTCCACATTGCAGCGATTAGAGGTTCTCTTTACCCTTGAATATGCGAAATTTGGACTTCCTTTTGCTGTTCTTCGAGCTTTACTATCATGCCAAATGTGTTATGTAAGGTAAATTTCAGGACTTAGGTTTATTATTGCCTAATGCCTATTGGACATACATTGTGGTCATCTAAAGAGTTGACTTGGTTACTAGAACATATATAAGTCATTATAAACCACCACTGAATAAAGGCATTGGAGAAAAAAAGGGGAGAGGGGGACATGGTGCTGTGTTGCACTGTTGCTTGACTTAAACATTGATTTTGAGTTTTGACCATGCTACTTCCTTGGTTGCTGGAAACCTTAAACATTCACTTTGCGGTAAATAACTAGTTTTCCTAATGCTTTCCAAACTTGTTTTTGCTGTTAACATATGGTTACTTTAGGTATTTTAGTCATGAAACAGAAACACATCTCACTTAATATACCCATAAATGCAACACGGCATGATTATTTCCCTCTCTTTTGACCCAGGTTACTATGAAATATCAGAATTGTTATTGTCAAAAGGAGCTTGTGTTGACCCTCTGTGGGAATCTAAAAGTCCACTATATATTGCTGCCCAATATGGAAATGCAAGAATGGTGGAGTTATTGTTGCATCATAACGCAGAGGTAATAGTTCTTTCTTACCAGCTCTAATTTGCTTTTCTTACCAATACACGGTGTACAGGTTTAGTATTTAATTTGTATCCATGATAAATAAACCAAAGAAGTAACAGCTGGACTAATTTGTTTGGAAGTAGAAATGCTCGTGTCTGTCTTCTTCACCATATTTCACTTCTTCCATCGAGGCTTGAGGGTTCCACATGAAATCTTGTTTGTAGTCTGCCTCAAAATCTGATTGGATTTTGCATCTTTTGTTCTGTTACCATTTAATTGAATGCATATGTTCCATATGACAACTCATTGTAAAACAAGATCATATTGTATATTTTCCTAATGGTCGTTTGAAACTCTGGATTCCGCATTTCGGTCACTTTTCTAGTCTTGCATATTATTGCATGAATTATCCTGTGCTGTTTGAGAAAAGATATTTTTATGACATGGATTTTCAGTTCATATACAGTTAGGATAGTGGATGCAGTAAAACATCATTATCTATAACAAGCTTTCAATTATTCTATTGGTTACTTTTTGAGTTTCATGGAAACAGGTAAAACTTTTTTTGTAATTTGATTTTAGAAAGCCATTTTCTGCTATATTTGTTTTCCTCTGTAAAACAATTTCTTTTTTTTGCTTGTGATTTATATTCCAGATTCTCGATTAAAAAAATCGATAAAAAGTGAAATCCGAACAACCTCCAAGGATAGCCATGGTAAAGCCAGATTATACTATACAGTCTGGACATAAGCTTATTCATTTTTTAATGAGCATGGAGCGTGGGTCCCTAATTTTGTTGTATCTTTTTTGAGGTTCCATTTGATTAGTGCATTGAGACAACATGCCAAACTCTGTTAATGAAAGCTAGATTTTACCTAAAGGGGGCATTTACACCCAACTATGTATATGAAAATTTTATTGTGGGCACCAGTGTTTCCCATCTGCGTGTTTATAAAGTAGTCAAATCAGATATGGTACTTTTGGTTAAGTCTTCTATTTATTATTCTAAAATTCGTATTGAACTGCTCTTTTTTTCTCCAGTATCCATGTCATTATTTTTGTACAACTAATGTGTTCTTTTTCTCATCTCCAGCCTAAAGATGTGGTATACACACCGCTGAAAGCAGCAATCTCTGCTCGTTCATTGATAGGCTTGGAATTACTTATCAAGGTGCAATGACTTGTCCTGTTAGAGTTGTTATTATTGATTCCCTACAAAGATCTTACCAAGGGAACTGGATAAATTTGATTTGTCGTTTCTAGGATGAGCACAAGTTGAAGCTTTATAAGAAAAGCTGTGTTTAAGATTCTGTATCACTCTATTTTGCAGGCTGGCGCCCCTGTTAATATTGGTCTGCCTGAAACTCCACTGATAGCAGCTGCAGCTGCTGGCTTAACTGACTTTGTCAAGTGTTTGTTGAAAGCTGACGCAAATGCAAACATACCCGATGATGTCAGTTTTATCCTAACACTTAGTTTTCATTGTCACTTTTGAAGAGCTTATTTGTTGTCTATGATTTTATCATACTTTCAAGTTTGACTAGTGTGGAACTTTCTTGTAATATTGTGTGTTTGCTACTAACAGTTTACGGTAAAATGCTGCACTTTGAAGTCCTATGTTATCTCTTTTTTCTTAGAAAGGAAATTACAAAATTGTAATGTTGTTGACACTGAAATTGTATTATCTCTCCCTCGCACCATTCAGTAAGTAGAGATGTGGGGCACATTAGCCATCCTCTCAGCTCTCACAATTGGGCCATAATTGGCAGAGATGGGAGATCACTTGTTCTTGAAACCATGATTCTTAAGTAAGAATCCAATATTGGAGTAGGGAAAAGGGAGCCCTTTCCTGGTTCTCCTGACCTTAGGTTTTGAGGTTTCAGAATGGTTTACTAACCTCTATGGTGGGATCCGTCATGGAGACCAGACGATTGTATAGACTTCGCTAATTGCTGTATTCTAGTACAAACTTTTATCACAATACATGCGCTGGCCTGGACAATTGCCTCTGATTCCTAACATACACTCATTTCTGACCTTAATTCTGCTAGAGTAAAATGGCTTTCCACATTTTTTTTACTGATTGTGAAACAGAAAGCCTAATTTAACCCTAAACTCTTGTATATTTATTTGACAACGTTCTCCATGATATTCTTCTTTTAAACAGAATGGTAGGGTTGCGATAGAAATTGCTGCAATCCAAGGATGGAAAGAATGTGTCGAGGTTCTTTTCCCTGTCACGGCCCCTTTGGCTAGAGTTGCAGACTGGAGCATTGATGGATTACTTCAACATGCAAGATTTATGAGTTCCAAGCCACAAGTATGGACAAAAACTTGTGGACTGCTAAAATCATGACATCATTTGACTTTAGAACTTCTTATAGTTTCAGTTCATCATATATGTCATATTTTATTTGGCTTTCGGTTGTGCTTGTTATTTAGCATCCTGTGCTCCATGAAGACAATGAACCTGATTATGAAGCAGAAGGGGATGCCACATTCTGTAGAAGGGATTATTCTCATGCATTGACTCTCTATACTATGGTAAATTTTTGTATCACACATCTCTTTAGACATGAGAGGAACTTCTGTTTGCTGACAAAAACTCACTTTCTGACATAACGCCCAGTACACTGTAGCTGACTGTCCTGATCAATCAATAAAGTAGTGTTTGGTTACCTTAACATATGGTCATTGCCTTTATTTTATTTTAATGAACATAACATCCATATAAGTTCTAAGAAAGCAAAACTGGTAGTATATCCTTCAGCACGGGGTGATTGTTATGTTATATCCTACTGCCTTCTTGGCCTTCTTTGTTAAGGATTAACATGATCTTTGGTTTAGTAAACTTAAATCATTAAATGGATGCAGGCAATGGAAATTGACCCTGATAATTCAACCTTGTATGCAAAGAGGAGCCTTTGCTTTCTGTACACAGGCTATGAAGGAGAGGCTTTGGAGGATGCTACTACCTACAAAGATATGCATCCGGATTTATCAAAATCCTGCTATGAGCAAGGAGCAGCTCTTATTCTGGTCAAGGTGGGGAGTGATACAAATAGCAATGACTTTTGATTTTCCATAATCTGTGTCATGTTCCATCGTTATTTATTCGCTCTTTAGGAGTATGGCAGAACATGCGAAGCACTCTTGCCTGGCTTGAACTCGGATTTTTGAAGCAAACCAACTGACAAAGCGTTCGGGTAACTTCCACTTGATTGCCTTTATTCTTTGATTGAATAGATTGCCTTTATTCTTTGATTGAATATATTTGCTAAAATAGAATGTTCGAATACGGTAGGATGGATGTCTTACAATAGTTTATACTGTTCATATGGAAAGAAACAAAGTTTGTGACATATTAGTACCCTAATGTATGACTGGTTTATGTACTTTTACCCCAATGTTGAAAATCTTTGTTTTCCAATTATGTTAGGAGAAATAGCTAATCATGAAGTTAACACTTAACAGAGTTTGTCTGTGTGCTTAACTTGTGCTCTAAGTTTCCACCATATTTTGCAGGGAAGGACCATCCGTGAAGAAAGGTTGTTAGTGTAAGGGCAAGAAAGAAGGTTGTTACTGCACAGGAAAAACAGAGGTTCCTAGCTGTTACTCCTTACGCGTATTCGTATAGTCGTATAGTACTACTGCGCAGGCAAGAACTGAGATAAAGAAGGTTGTTACTGCACAGGAAAAACAGAGGTTCCTAGCTGTTACTCCCTACGCGTATTCGTATAGTCGTATAGTACTACTGCACAGGCAAGAACTGAGATTCTTAGTTCTTAGTTGTTGATACGATTAGGTAATACAGTGGCACAGACAAGATAATGACGGATGAGCATCCGTCCAAAAAACCTGTGGTGTTGTGTTTTTGTTGGATCCTGCTTTTTCTTCAGTGTGGAACTTGTTCCTGTTTTGAACGGCTGTTGCGTGTTATATACGTGTTATATGTACATGTACTGAGCTGTAAATGTGGTCCAATGCTGGGCCCACCATTTAGACATGATCAAACAGTTGTTGAAAGCACGAGAACCTTAAAACAGATGATAGTGGTAATACTGATACTGTGAGTTTTGGTATGGTATTGTTATGATATATTAACCTGGTGTCCATCATCAGCCTGTTCGTTTGACTGGGTTTGTTTGTTGCTGGTTCGTGAAGAAGTACTGCTGGCTGGTTTGGTGTGAGAGAAAAATACTCTTCCGGCTGAAAATTTACCATCGTTTACGACAAGCACAAGCCAACCGAACAAGCTACGTATTGGTCGTAAGAGACATTATTTTATAAATAAAAACCTAATGACAGAGATGTGAGAGGGACCATATTCTCGCTTCATCAAGAAACGTTTTAGATAATGAATCAGAATTACTTTTATAGAACTGTTTGGATGGTAAGTTAGATTCTAATTTTTAAATATATATATAAATAAAATATGTTCAAAAAAAAACTTTTTGCAGACAAAGAATAATTTAAATACAACTTATTTTAATTAGTTTCACTTCAGAAATGATAACTAGAAAAAATATTGTTGCTAGTGTACAGGAGAAATCAGAAACAGAATCTAGCAAAACCACACTAGAGCCGTTTCGCTCAGCCAGGCAAAAAGCTAGAAACATTCCGATGTAGAAACGATTCACATTTAATGTGTTTGGAAGTGTTTCTTGAGATTCTAACCAGAATTAGAACCGTTTGGATCGTCCAATAGCCCCTAAGTCACTGCAGGTGGCACTGAGGTTCTAACCAAATTAGAACTCATTTTGTTAAAAGGCACAAGCACGATGTCATCGTCCATATAGTGATGGTTTCACTGCAGTAGCAGTGGACATTAACGATGGTTTCCAATTGCAAGGAGCCAACCGAGGTTAGAGTTAGTTTCTAGCTAGACTCATTCGATGTTTGGAAAAGGCACAAAATGATAATAAATGTCAAATCGGTCGGGATACGTGATGGTTTCTACCTTCACCTCTTTGACGAGTAGCAAATAACCCACTCTAGGACATTTAACGATGGTTTCTAGCTCTAACCCATGGATCCAAACAGGGCCTCTGTTAAATGAGATGTTACCTAAACAAAATACTAACATAATAGTCTAATTAACGAGAAAAGAGAACAGAATTAGAGGAAATCGTTTCTTCACATACAAACGACGTCTTCCCTTCAACCGATGAAATGGTGAAATAGAAACGACGTCTTCCCTTCAACCGATGAAATGGTGAAATTGCTGTTTGGGAAGAAACCATCAGTTTCTATATGAGCCTATCTACTACATGGCTATGTATTTTATATAGTTTCAACACACAATCTTTACTCTTCTTCTATCTTTAGCCTCCATAGATCATAGCTTATAATTTTTTTTTCTATAAAAGAATAAATCATAGATCCGCCGTCGCCACCGCTGAGCTCGCCGTTGCCGGCAGTCACCGGTGAGAAAGAGAGAGGGAAATAAAAAAAATCTTTATGTTTTTTTAAACACACGTGTGTTGTATAGGGCGCGTCCGTCCGCACCGGCCGCACCTGCTCCCGCTCGCCGCGGAGGTGCGGCGCATGATGGACGAGATGGACACCGACCGCGATGGCTTTGGTGGACCTCGCCGAGTTCATCGCCTTCCATTGCAGCAACGGGGAGGAGGAGGAGGGCAGGGAGGACGCCACCGAGGCCAAGCTGCGGGAGGCGTTCCGCATCTACAACACCGTATGCGCTGGCCGCGTCGCCGCAGGCTGCGCTCCCCGTCCGCGCTCTTGTGCCCGCGCGAAAGGCCGCTCTGCCGTGCTCGACTGCGCTGGCTGCGCTTGCGTGCGCCGGCCAAGCTCGCCGTGCCACCGTGCCCGCGCCGGCCGCGCTCGCTCGTGGCGCCGCGCTCGCGCCACCCCGTACTGGCCGCGCTCGCCCGCGCTGCCCGCCTGCCCGTGCTCGACTGCGCTGGGCCGCTCGCTGCTCTCACATGCGCTGGCTGCGCTCACCCGCCGGCCCCTCTCGTCCGTGTGCTGTGCTGCGCTTGCATGAGAGAACAAGAGGACGAGAGAGAGCATGGAAGGGATAAGGGTGAGAGAAAAAATGCCCACATTTATTACGCAAAGACATCCCCATTCAACGCGTTCGTTTATTGGTTTCAGACAGAGCTTATTAATTAGTTAATAGTATTTTTCTCTCATAACAAACCAGCACCAGCTGGGCTTATCAGCCTAGAAACCAACCAGCGAATAAGCTCATTGTCTGGAGTAGTTTCTACGGATGATTTTGTGCTGACGTAGTTATCATGGAAATCGCGCATAGTTTCAACCATTGTGATTGCCCTAATGTTGTAAAACATAGTGAGCACTTGATAGGTTAGTTATTCCGATCAAACTTGATAAACTATTGCGGAAGTTGTTAAGAAAAAAATGGTCTTATATTACAGGCCTTACTTGCGACCACGCTTGAATACTCGTCCAGTTGATAGGATCGCTCTCCGGTTAGTCCAGGAGTCTAGGCCAAGTTGTCATCTATTGATCACACTTAGTCACCTTGACCCTCCCGGTCGTTCCGAGATATACTATCACGTAGCACCACATCTATTTAGCCTTCAACTAGGATCGATTGCAAGAGGACAATCATACCTTTGACAAGTTCACATTAGATTAATAAAAAATGCTTCTCAAGTTTTTTTTGAATTACACGAGTATAGACACAGACGCTCACAACACGTACGCATACTCACCTCTATGAACACACGCATGCAAACCCTACTCCTATGAACACCTCTGAAAGACTGTGCCGCCACATCTCCAGATTGACGAAGTCACCATAGGTACCTCGCTGTCGACGGGAATGTCGCCTATCACTGAAACTACAACGCCGTTAAATCCTAGAATAAATCTAGGAAAATACGAGCACCCGTGCCAAGTCGAGGACTTAAATCCGGGGGGGCAGGTTCTATCACAAGAAACCTAACCAACTAAGCTAGGCTCAGTTCGCGTGGTTCTCAAGTTTACAACACATATTTGGAATTGAGATGTAGAAATCCTAGGTGGATGGTAGCAATCTCATCTTCAAAGGATTTAGATATGAGAACCTCTATTTGTTAGATTTTGGTGCTAGTGAGACAAATCTTACAATATGCATGTTTGTTCACCAAGTCTAGTATGAGTTGGTTGTGGCATAAAAGATCGGCTCATGTTGCAATGAAACAATTGGATAGATTAATCAAGCATGACCTAGTCAATGGTTTGAAGAATGTGCAATTTGAGAAGGATATGTTGTGTAGTTCATGTCAAGCGGGCAAGCGAGTAGCAAATATACATCTTAGCAAAAGCATGATGTCAACTAGCAAGGCACTTGAGTTGTCGCATATGCATGGACTTATTTGGACCAACCACATATATGAGCATTAGAGGAAGCAAGTATTGATTTGTAATAGTTGATGACTTCACTAGATTCTCATGGGTGTTCTTTCTCAATGATAACGGTGAAGTGTTCAACATATTCAAGTCATTTGTTAAGAGGGTTGAAAATGAGTTTGAGTGAGGGTAATTAATTTAGAAGTGACAATGGAAGTGAGCTCAAGAACATAAGAGTTGAGCTATGTGATGAGATGGGCATCAAACATGAGTTCTCGCCCAAATACACTACACAATTAAAGGGCCTTGTTGAGAGGAAGAATATGAGACTTATTGATATGGCAAGGTCTATGCTTAGTGAGTATAATGTGAGTGATTCATTTTGGGCGAAGGCAATCATCACGGTTCGTCATGCTTCAAATAGACTCTATTGTCTCTAGTTTCTAAAGAAGACTCCATCTGAGCTGTTGATTGAAAAGGAAGCCAAATATTTCATACTTTATAGTGTTTGGTTGCAAGTGCTATATCTTGAAGAAAGGCATAAAATTGAGCAAGTTTGAAAGAAAATGTGATGAGGGATTTCTTCTGGTTACTCCTCCAATAGCAAGGCATATAGAGTGTATAACAAGACACATGGCATTGTTGACGAGGTTCATGATGTGGAGTTTGATGAAACCAATAGGTCTAAAGTTGAAGATGAAAACATAGATGATGTGAGAGGAGCTAAGTTGGAAGAAGCAATGAAGTATATGGCACTT